ACCTTATTAGGGGCTCTCAACCAGGATCTTGGAGAACAAAAAGAAAGGGTTGGCCTTGAAACTTGATATTAAGAAGGCTATTTTGATTCAGAGGTGATAAAGTTCTGTTAAGTTGCAATCTATAGTCCAGTTAAATAGAAGATAAAAATAAAATGCTCTCAACATTTCATGTCATTAAATTCCTGTGGCAACCTGCTAGGCTATATCTTTATATTCTCTTTATGATGAAAGTGTAAAACATTTAATAATCCTTTTCATGAATCTCTATTATAAGTAATGAGAAAGATTTTTATAGTATTGGCCATCTTTATTCTGAGCATGCCCTATATAGCTTTGAGTGTTCCTTCAGTTTCGTCTGATGAAAGAAGGGGGGAAATTATCTGTGCATCAGATTGAAGATAATACTGGGCGTCATTTCATGGCTGTCAAAATTTTCCCAAACCATTTGGTGGGGCTATTTTCCCACGTGGTCTTCGTTCTATATCTGGAGAGAAAACTTTGCCTGGTTCTTCCAATATGCCCATTGCCTCTGATTTTAAAAAGACAAATTTTTAAATTTCTCATGGCTCTTCTATAGGACCCCATCTCTAAGGAACCTTCTTAGGTAGCAAACACTGGAAAATGAACACATCCAAAACTCATAAAATGCCCAATTCCCTATACTCTAGTCCAAAATAGTGGGAATGCTGAATCCTATTGAATTTGCAAAGGCTTCTGACTGCAGTTTTCTAAATCGACTCAGAGCGCCGCTGTTGGCCAATGAGCTGCAAGAGCTGGCGCCGGCGATCTACTCCCGGCGATATTCTGCGCAGTCACAGAAGCAAATCAGAAAGAAGAGCGGCCGGGACTCAGGCTTTCTGCTCGGCAAATCTGATTCTGGACGGATTGGGATGCCCTCAACCCGGGAGCATTGTGTCTTCTGCGCGCGAAAGTAAATATTTTTAAAGTAATTAGTGAAGCCTTTTTCTTTTAACGCCTGAAGGCTGCAGCAACGCAAGAGAAGGATGGGAAGTAGAGCGAAGCAGAGGAGCAGGACCCCGCGGCGGCAAGTACTCTTTCCCTTCCTGCTGTCTTTGTTCTGCGGGGCTCTCTCGGAGCAGATCCGGTACTCTATTCCTGAAGAAATGGCCAGGGGCTCAGTGGTGGGGAACCTCGCTGAGGACCTGGGGCTGCATGTTCGGGATTTATTGACCCGCAACCTCAGAGTTAGTGCAGAGAAACAATACTTTACCGTGAACGTGGAGAATGGGAACATACTTGTGAGTGACAGAATTGATCGGGAGTCGCTGTGTCCCCAAAATCCTCTGTGTGTTGTGCCCTTAGAGATTGTAGCAGAGAATCCTCTAAATGTTTTTCACATAAACGTGATGATAGAAGATATAAACGATAATCCACCTCATTTCCCCCAAAATAGCATTGTTTTGCAAATCAATGAATTTGCGATTCCAGGCACTCGGTTTGGCCTGGAATCTGCTATAGATCCAGATGTAGGGCCCCACTCTGTCCAGAGTTACCAACTCAGCTCTAATGAGCATTTCTCTCTGATGATGAAGGGCAAGACTGAAGGCAAGAATGCCCTGGAATTAGTGTTGAGGAAGCCCCTGGACCGGGAACAACAGAGCTCCCATCTCCTGGTCCTGACAGCGGTGGACGGGGGTGACCCGGTCCTGACTGGCACTGCTGCAATTCAAATAAAGGTCACTGATGCCAACGATAACGCCCCAGTGTTCAGCCAGGATATATACAAAGTCAGCCTTAGAGAGAATGTGCCCACAGGCACCTCTGTGCTAAAGGTGACAGCCACTGATCAGGACGAAGGTGTCAATGCAGAAATAACCTACTCATTCAAATCGCTAAGAGACGATATTGGAAATATTTTTATGCTAGACCATCAAAACGGGGAAATTAAATCCAGAGACTCTATTGATTTCGAAACCAGTAAAAGTTATACCATGAACATAGAAGCCAAGGATGGTGGAGGCATGACCAGCGAGTGTAAAATTATACTAGAAATTCTAGATGAGAACGACAACACCCCAGACGTGGTTTTTACTTCCGTGACGAGTTCCATAACCGAGGACGCAGAACCTGGAACTGTGATTGCTCTGTTCAAAACACATGATAAAGATTCAGGAGAAAATGGGGAGGTCAGTTGCGTCATAAAAGAAAAAGTTCCTTTTAGAATTGAATCTTCCTCCAGTAATTACTACAAGCTTGTAACAGATGGGGCCCTGGACCGGGAGCAGACTGCAGAGTACAATGTCACCATCATTGCCACAGACAGGGGCAAACCGCCTCTCTCCTCCAGTACTAGCGTCACTCTACACATTGGGGATGTTAATGACAACGCTCCGGTTTTCCACCAGGAGTGCTACGTGGTCCAACTGGACGAGAACAATCCTCCTGGAGTCTCCATCGCTCAAGTCAGCGCCTCTGATCCGGACCTGGGGTCCAACGGCCACATCTCTTACTCCATCGTGGCCAGTGACCTGGAGCCCAGGCTGCTGTCGTCCTACGTGTCGGTGAGCGCGCAGAGCGGGGTGGTGTTCGCGCAGCGCGCCTTCGACCACGAGCAGCTGCGCGCCTTCCAGCTGACGCTGCAGGCCCGCGACCAGGGCTCGCCCGCGCTCGGCGCCAACGTGAGCCTGCGCGTGCTGGTGGGCGACCGCAACGACAACGCGCCGCGGGTGCTGTACCCCGCGCTGGGGCCCGACGGCTCGGCGCTCTTCGATATGGTGCCGCGCGCCGCGGAGCCCGGCTACCTGGTGACCAAGGTGGTGGCGGTGGACGCCGACTCAGGACACAACGCCTGGCTGTCCTACCACGTGCTGCAGGCCAGCGAGCCCGGGCTCTTCAGCCTGGGGCTGCGCACGGGGGAGGTGCGCACGGCGCGAGCCTTGGGCGACAGGGACGCGGCCAGACAGCGCCTGCTGGTCACTGTGCGTGACGGTGGACAGCCGCCCCTCTCCGCCACCGCCACGCTGCACCTGGTCTTCGCGGACAGCCTGCAGGAAGTGCTGCCAGACCTCAGCGACGGTCCTGTGCCCTCTGATACCCAGTCGGAGCTGCAGTTTTACTTAGTGGTGGCCTTGGCCTTGATCTCTGTGCTCTTTCTCCTCGCGGTGATTCTGGCCGTCGCCCTGCGCCTGCGCCGCTCCTCCAGACCCGTTTTCTGGGACTGCTTTCAGCCTGGGCTCTGTTCCAAGACTAGACCAGGGGTTTCCCCCAACTACACTGAGGGAACTTTGCCTTATTCCTACAATCTGTATGTTGCTTCTGAGTCTCAAAATACAAGGTTTAATTTTCTCACCATGGCGCCAGAAATGGCTCCTCCACAAGACCTTTCTAACGAAGCTGCTCTGGTAGTGAGTTTCACTGAGGAGAATAACAAGATAAGCTCTGACTCTGTCGCTTCTGCTCACGTGAGTTTCAATGAATGTGTTTCATTTGCAAATAGGTTTGGCTTAATTTTCAAACCAATATTTTGGCAAGAAAATTTTAAACATATCTACTATTGCTTCAGGTTTGTTTGCCTTTGCCCACTCAATGTTTTCTGTTCCTATCTGTGTGGACTAGTAACTTCATTATTAGGGTTCGACTATTTTGAGATGTTTTTTATACACACACACACACAACTACTGTAAGAAGTGGGCATTACAATACCGCTGTCATTCAAATATTTTTAATTGGAATATAACATTTTTTTCTTTCTGTGAATGTTTCTTGGGACATCAATATCTTAAGTATATAAGGGTTTTGTTTTTTTTTTTACTGTAAGTATATAAAGGTTTTTTTATTTTTTTTATTTTTTATTTTTTTTTTTACTGAAGTTTGTACTAAAACACATGCTGTGGATTTCCATCCCTTTTTGAAGAACAGTAGCTGGAGCTATTTAAGGTATAAATTGAGAGGAAAATTTGTAAAGAAAAGGCATTTTTTTAAAAAAAAGATAGGGTCTCCATATGTTGCTTGGGCTGGACTTGGACTCCCTGGCTCAAGCAATCCTCCTGCCTCAGCCTCAAGAGTAGCTGAGAGTACAGGAGCCTGCCACCATGCTCTCCTGGGGTAAGGCTTAAAGCAAATGAAAGAACATGGTAATGATTTGATAATAATGTTCTGGTACATTCACTAGTGATTCTTGGAGTCTCTCTGATTCCAGTCTCTCTGAGCAAGCTCAATTTTGTGTCTGATCTTTTCTCATAGCTACATGTAGATTTCCTCTCAATCTTAAATATATTGTTTATGCCTATCAAATGTGTTTATCCTCAGAATATAAATATTCATACTCAAGAAAGTGCAGTAGTGAGTTATTTTTTAGGGAGAAATTTTTCCTATATTTTGATGTGCTTCCAAAGGTATTACCAGTAATTCTCAGTAATTGGGATTAGGTCAGTTACCTGGGAAAAGGTAAGTTTAAAATATTCTTTGGATTACTAATTTTATTTTACTAAGTCTTCCTCAACATGAAACATTTTTTGAAATATAATGTAGTAATAGAATTGTGGTGTACTACCATTATTTCCAGTCAATGCAAGTTGGAATGCTTCCGTTTTATTCCAAAAATTGTAATGTTTCTTCTTCACTTGAATTTTGATTCTGATAATGTGTATAATCACATTTCCCATTTTTAAGTTTTCATATTATCATGAAAATTTGATTTTTAAGTGTTAAATGTCAACAACCTGGTAAATTCAACCAGGCAAATTCAAGAAATCTATTGAAAACTGTTTACTCTAAATTATAGCGTTCAGAAAGTTTAAATTATCCTATTCTATTCTCAAAAAAGGAAACTCCTACAGAGAAGCCCCCCATAATAGGTATGGGAGGGGAGAGTGATCTCAAAGCAGATGCACTAAAATTATAAGGTTAAAATTACTCCTTATAGAAACTTCAAATTTGTTTAAAAGCCCATTAGAAAAATCGGAATACACCGACAGCTACAGAAAATAATATCAAGAAAGTACCTCTGTATGAAAAAATTTAGGAAAATAAAAAGAAGCTTACTGAAGTTTGCACTAAAACAAATGCTGTGGATTTCCATCCCTTTTTGAAGAACAGTAGGTGGAGCTATTTAAGGTATAAAAACCAAATATCCCTTCCCGGAGTTCAAGATTGTGCAGTAATTGGTTAGGACTCTGAGCGCCGCTGTTCACCAATCCGGGAGAGCAAAGCAGCGATCCTGCTCGCCTTTCACGCGCCTGAAGCACAAAGCAGATAGAAACGGACCATCTCTGGGGCCGTGAGGAAACTGAACCCAGGAGCTCTGCCACCCCACCCCCGTCTGATTCTAGGGGCTGAAGAGCTGATTCTGACCTCGGTGGTCAAGGGCAGAATTGGAGATAATCCTGGAGAAAAGTGACAATGATTCCTCCGCCACTGCATCAAGACTGCAAAGCGCTGGTCCTGCTGGGAGTCGTCCTGGGGATCCTGTGGGAAACCGGATGCAGCCAGTTACACTATTCAGTTCCTGAGGAGCTGGAGAAAGGCTCTAAGGTGGGCAACATCTCCAAGGACCTGGGGCTGGCGCCCCGGGAGCTGGCGGGGCGCGGGGTCCGCATCGTCTCCAGAGGCAGGACGCAGCTCTTCGCGCTGAACCCGCGGAGCGGCAGCCTGGTCACCGCGGGCAGGATAGACCGGGAGGAGCTCTGTTTGGGGGCCATCCAGTGTCAAGTAAATCTAGAGATTCTGATGGAGGATAAAGTGAAAATATACGGGGTGGAAGTGGAAGTGAGGGACATTAACGATAATGCGCCCCACTTCCCTGAAAGTGAATTAGAAATCAAAATAAATGAAAACGCAGCCACTGGGATGCGGTTCCCGCTTCCCCACGCTTGGGATCCGGACATCGGGAAGAACTCTCTCCAGAGCTACGAGCTCAGCCCGAATTCTCACTTCTCCCTGGACGTGCAAAGCGGAGCGGACGGTATTAAGTACCCGGAGCTGGTGCTGGAGCGCGCGCTGGACCGCGAGGAAGAGGCCGCTCACCACCTGGTCGTCACGGCCTCGGACGGCGGCGACCCTGTTCGCACAGGCACGGCGCGCATCCGCGTGACAGTCCTCGATGCGAACGACAACGCACCGGCGTTTGCTCAGTCCGAGTACCGCGCGAGCGCTCCGGAGAATGTGGCCGTGGGCACGCAGCTGCTTCGGGTGCACGCCACGGACGCTGACGAAGGCGCCAACGCGGAAGTGACGTACTCCTTCCGGTATGTGGACCACAAGGCGGCCCAAGTTTTCAAGCTAGATAGTAGTTTAGGGACCATCTCAACAATAGGGGAGTTGAACCACGAGGAATCAGGATTCTACGAGATGGAAGTGCAAGCAATCGATAACGCAGGCTATTCTGCACGAGCCAAAGTCCTGATCACTGTCCTGGACGTGAATGACAACGCCCCCGAAGTAGTTGTCACCTCTCTCACTAGCTCCGTTCAGGAAAACTCTCCCAGAGGGACATTAATTGCCCTTTTAAACGTGAATGACCAGGATTCCGGGGAAAATGGAAAGGTGACCTGTTTCGTTCGAGGAAATCTGCCCTTTAAATTGGAAAGATCTTACGGAAATTACTACAGCTTGGTGACAGACATAATCCTAGACCGGGAACAGGTTCCTAGCTACAACATCACGGTGACGGCCACTGACCAGGGAACCCCGCCCCTGTCCGCGGAAACTCACATCACCCTGAACGTGGCAGACACCAACGACAACCCTCCCGTCTTCCCCCAGGCTTCCTATTCCGTTTATATCCCAGAGAACAACCCCAGAGGAGCCTCTCTTGTCTCCGTGACCGCCCACGACCCCGACTGTGAGGAGAACGCCCAAGTTACTTATTCCCTGGCCGAGGACACCCTCCAGGGGGCGCCCGTGTCCTCCTTCGTCTCCATCAACTCGGACACCGGTGTCCTGTACGCGCTGCGCTCCTTCGACTACGAGCGTTTCCGAGACCTGCAGTTGCAAGTAATTGCGCGCGACAGCGGAGACCCGCCGCTCAGCAGCAACGTGTCGCTGAGCCTGTTCGTGCTGGACCAGAACGACAATGCGCCCGAGATCCTGTACCCTGCCCTCCCCACCGACGGCTCCACCGGCGTGGAGCTGGCGCCCCGCTCCGCAGAGCCTGGCTACCTGGTGACCAAGGTGGTGGCGGTGGACAGAGACTCAGGCCAGAACGCCTGGCTGTCCTACCGCCTGCTCAAGGCCAGCGAGCCCGGGCTCTTCTCGGTGGGGCTGCACACGGGCGAGGTGCGCACGGCGCGGGCCCTGCTGGACAGAGACGCGCTCAAGCAGAGCCTCGTGGTGGCCGTCCAGGACCACGGCCAGCCCCCTCTCTCGGCCACCGTCACGCTCACCGTGGCCGTGGCGGACAGTATACCGGCCGTCCTGGCGGATCTCGGCAGCCTGGAGTCTCCCGCCGACTCGGAAGCCTCAGGCCTCTCGCTCTATCTTGTGGTGGCGGTGGCTGCAGTCTCTTGCGTTTTTCTGGCCTTTGTGATCCTGCTGCTGGCGTTCAGGCTGCGGCGCTGGCACTCCTCGCGCCTGCTCCAGGCTTCAGGCGACGGATTGGCAGGCGTGCCTACGTCACACTTTGTGGGCGTGGACGGGGTGCGGGCTTTCCTGCAGACCTATTCCCACGAGGTGTCCCTCACCGCGGACTCGCGCAAGAGCCACCTGATCTTCCCGCAGCCCAACTACGCGGACACGCTCATCAGCCAGGAGAGCTCTGAGAAAAGCGAGCCTCTTTTGCTGTCAGGTGATTCAGTATTGTCTAAAGACAATCATGCATTTATTCAGGTGAGTCCTTATCAAATAGTCTTCTCTGATCTTTGAAGAAAATATCCCTTAATATAGATAATTCGTGTATATTTGGAATTTATAAAGCAGACATCAATAAATTTATATATATGTGGCAGACACCAACTGCCCAGTCACCTTCCCTCATGCCTTATTTATAACAATTTATATACTATTATGTATATTTCTATAAAATAGGTATATATTCATAAACAATTTATAAAGTACTTTGTTAATATTGTATATCATTTTCTAGTTTAATTTATTGACTATAATACTGTTTTCCTGCTTTTAATTTTTGTCTCATTGAACATACAGCAGTTTTGTGTAGAGCATCTGATGCCAATTTATTTGTTGATCTAAAAATCTAATTAAATGGAACATACAAGTGAAAATTTTAGTAAGCTTTTATAAAAAGTGTGGCCTTTAACTACTTGAGATTGCTAGGAAATTCATAAGGTATATTTAGTTTCTTTTAACGTGCAGTAATGGCCGGGTGAGGTGGCTCACGCCTGTAATGCTAGCATTCTGGGAGGCTGAGGTGGGCAGATCGCTCAAGGTCAGGAGTTCGAAACCAGCCTGAGCAAGAGTGAGACCCCATCTCTACTATAAATAGAAAGAAATTAATTGTCCAACTGATATATATAGAAAAAATTAGCCGGGCATGGTGGCACATGCCTGTAGACCCAGCTACTGAGGAGGCTGAGGCAAGAGGATTGCTTGAGCCCAGGAGTTTGAGGTTGCTGTGAGCTAGGCTGACTCCATGGCACTCACTCTAGCCTGGGCAACAAAGTGAGACTCTGTCTCAAAATAAATAAATAAACAATGTGCAGTAATTATTTCTAGCCGTTAGGGATATATCTGTTTATATTTTCTCAGTGTCCTAAGTCATTTCATGGTTTTAAATCATTCATGAACTTCCAAATATGGTGAGTTTATTTCTTACACATTTAAAACTTTCTCACTGAAATATACAATATACTGTATGTTTTGTCATGAGGAAAAATTGTAAGGATTTTTTATTTTCACCTCTATTATGTATTTCGGGAATACAATATCTATATATGTTTCCAATTTAGACATTTCTTTTGCTCACTTTACCTGTATGGATGATATTAATGACTTTGTGGAATATTCAGAATTAACAAAATGTGTTTTGAGTGCTTTTTTGGTACTATGGCAAATTTGCAGTAATTCCCTCCACTTTCTATATTGAATTCCCCATAACTTTTACAAATATGGGAAAATTTCTGGAAAGTGCACAGATTCTAAGTGTTTCCTGAGAACCTTATGCATATTGTAGAGTGTTTAACAGAATTGACTGCTAAAGAATGTTACTCTTGGAAAAGCATTGCCTAATTGCTTCTGGTGAATTCTTTAAAGATGTAGGGACCATAATATCCAAATTAGTTTTTCTTTCCTCTTTATTTGTTGCCTATCTACTTTCAAATATACCATATTTAAAACACAGGCCAAGAAAAGGGAATGATAGATAATCCAGTGGCTCTAAAATGAGGCAGTTACTGCTTCTGAAATCAGTTGTCACTTTATGCTGCTCGACAATGAAGACCCAAAAAAAGGAAAACTAGTTTGTGTTGTTCTACTTGTGTGTTATTTTTAAAAGGAAGTACTTTAGTTTATCTCAAAATGCAAAATTTGGAGCCAGGCATAGTGTGCTTATAGTCCCACTATTTAGGGAGGCGGATGCAGGAAGATCACCTGGGCAACATAGTGAGATGTTGTCTCTTTAAAAAACATAAAAATTTTTTGTTTACATTAAATTTTAAATGGAATCTAATAAGTAGAGTGCTCTGTAAGTAATATTGAGAGAAATAGAGGACAATGCATACCCTTCCCCGTTGTCTTGCAGAAGCTATCACAATATGTTTGTCACCTGGCCAGTTCTCTCATGGTATGGTGGTCAATTCAAAATGAAAGACATAATAGGAAAACAGAAATTATTCGTGAGGCTAAATTCACATGGTCAAATTATGCTGATCTCTGTTCACCTAACTTGAGTTAGGAACAAGTCATTGAGTGCTAGGGCATGAATAGTCATAACCCTCAGATTGTATTTAAAATATCAATGATCTCAACGGTACTTCCAGTTTAAACTAGATAGTCTTCGTTAAATCATTGTTGAATGAATGAATAAACAAATAAATGTGCTCTGGGGATTACTGACACCAATATTCTGAGTTTCCAGATGTATCATAGAAGGACAGTAGCTTTGCAATTAGGTAACTGTCACACAATCTGTGTATATAATCTCTTTGAGCTTCAGAAAAATAGGACTATTTGTATCTAATTTGAAAGGTTGTGGTAAGGACTCAAGGATAACATAAATCATCTGGTTCGTAACATGTAATTAATCAACAGTAACCATTTTTATGGTCTACAAAAAAAGGATTCATATTTTCAATGCCATCATACTTGTCATTTTGTTGGGAAAAGTAATCATGATTTGTGTGCTTCTCCAGATGGTACAATGGGATGACCTATGGGTAGAAACAAAACTATTCTAAAATTTTTGTGAAAGCTAATTCAAAACTTGTAAGTGCCTAGGTACATTCTTGATTGGAAAGTCAAAATTTTAGGCCATAAAGATGGGGGAAAGATTGTTTTAGATGAGACAATTTTCCAAGTGTTAGTTTTCTCTGTTTGAAGCATTGTGTTATCTAAAAAGGGATCCTATGAACCTTGTTTTAAAGGAGCACTTTACTCCAGTGGGATCTTGAGTGATTTAACTGGGATTACCGAAACCTGAAGGTTAGAGTTATTAGGTTTTGGCCATGTGAGAATTGAAGCTAACGGTTTAGCTTGAGAATAGTTAGGATATTTATTGATAATTTAGGATTGATGATTAAGATATTTGTTGATCATTTCCTGATAGTAGCTGGCCAATGAGTTTGGGAATGTTTACATTTCTTCTGGTTCTAGTAATAAAATTATGTCAAGATTTTGCTTGTTTTCTTTATGTGTTATGGCAGGTGAGCATGGATTCATTTAATTTAATAAGTTAAAATGTTCAGTTATAACTTAAATGTTGTAATTGCATTGTTTTATAGCACCTAAAATTGAAAAAGCAAGCTGTCAGCAGACATTCTTCTACCACTTTCATTCCAGAAGAGGTAGTGTGCTTTTTGAAGTATCAACAGCCTAGGAACCTTGCTGAGACTATACAACTCACAGATCA